AATGCAGCAGCCCAATTTGAAAAAGACAGATGCACCCCTATGTTTATCGCAGCACTATTTACAATAGCCAAGAAATGGAAGCAACCCAAGTGTCCATCAGTAGATGAATGGATAAAGAAGATGTGGTACATACACACAATGGAATATTATTCAGCAATAAAAAGAAAACAAATCCTACCATTTGCAACAACATGCATGGAGCTACAGGGTATTATGCTCAGTGAAATAAGCCAGGCAGAGAAAAACAAGTACCAAATGATTTCACTCATATGTGGAGTGTAAGAACAAAGAAAAAACTGAAGGAACAAAACAGTAGCAGAATCACAGAACTCAAGAAAGGACCAACAGTTAGCAAAGGGAAAGGGATTGGGGAGGATGGGTGGGAAGGGAGGGATAAGCGGGGGAAAAGAAAGGGTGCATTACAATTAGCATGTATAATGTGGGGGGAGGCACAGGGAGGGCTGTGCAACACAGAGAAGACAAGTAGTGATTCTACAGCATCTTACTACGCTGATGGACAGTGACTGTAATGGGGTTTTGTGGGGGACACTTGGTGAAGGGGGGAGCCTAGTAAACATAATGTTCCTCATGTAATTGTAGATTAATGATACCAAAATTTAAAAAATTATGCTGTATAATCTAATTTTTACTATTACATAGTGTTCACAATTGATGAAAAAGGTTAACTATGTGCATAAATTTGCATAAAAATATACAATTACATTAAATTTTTGTACAAATGGTGTTATGTACATATAAAGATATGTACAATCTTTACAAGGATGAGTAGGAAATGTAACTATTTCATATTTTCTTTTTGTTTACATTTCTAATTTTTGTTATCAGAGTTCTGCTATCATATGAAGTTTTTTAATACAAAGAAAAAATTTTAAATTTCTCTGTAGAGAAGTTTTACAGATGTAAATACCAAAGATCTAACATTATTCTTCTTTTTGAGTTTTAATAACTTTTGAATTTTTTTATTCCGAGTATAACAGAGTTAACATGTTTTGGTAAATGTTCTGAAAATTCAGATTAGCATAAAGAAAAAAAAGTCCCCGCATCCCATCATCCAGAAAAATATCTATCAATAGTTGGTCTTTCCTATATTCATGCCTTTGTTGTTTATAGAGATGGATGAAGGAAAGTTAACATTACCAAAATGAAGAAATATAGCAGTCACTAGAATTTAAATTCTAGCTACTAGAAAAATACCAGAAGCTAGAATAGTTTGTCTTTCTTAGAGCAAAAACAAATCAATACTCTTCAATTCTCCTAAAACAGTTACAGCAGTTCTAAGATGCATTTTTTTTCCAATTTCAAAAGATAAGCTTCATTATCAGTGTGTACATTTAGCAGTGTTTTTCTTTCACCAAAAAGTTGTTTTAATTTGATGATATTTGTTACAATCCAATTCTCCTTTCAGAATGAGGAAAAGGACCCAGATTATGTAAGAATGTCTTTTGTTTCCAACATTTTATTTTTAAAAAGTTAAAATTGTTGTAAAAATTGTAAGGACAGTGTGGTGCACACCCTATACTCTTCAGTTAGATTTACTGACTAGGCCACATTTACTTTGTCTTTCTCCCTTTCGCTCTCTCTCTATACTATCATCATACACTTACACTTACCTCAGGGAGTAAGAACATTCTCCTATATAACCACAATTACAAATTGAAAATATCTCTCTCTCTATACTATCATCATACACTTACACTTACCTCAGGGAGTAAGAACATTCTCCTATATAACCACAATTACAAATTGAAAATATTTATTATTTAATATGCAATACTTTAAAATATATAGCCCCTATTCAAATTTCCTTAACTGCATCCCTGATGTACTTTATAACTGCCTCCCTGCTTTAGAATCAGATCATGCATGTCAAGAATGTCAAGGCATGTCAAGAATGCCTTTTAAAGAAATCCATATATTTAATCACATTTTAAAGATGTTTAGGTTCTTACTAAGTATTAAATAAAAAAATCACAGAACTGTAGGGATGGAAGAGACTTTAAAGATCATATAATCCAACTCTTAAATTTATTAGAGGGAAGAAATTGAGAATTAGGTTGATTTGCTCCTAGCACACAATATTGTTTTCTGGCTTGCTAAATGATGACCACTCCTAAAATTGGCAGTAGAATATAGTGTTTAAGAACATGGACTCTGGCATCAAAATGATTGAGTTGGAAGTCAGCACTCGACTAGTTATGTGACCTAAGCTAAGTTTAACCTTTTTGAGTTTTTGTTTCCAATCTATAAAATGGAATCATAGTATTGACACCATGGGTTTGTTCTGAGGATTAATCAAGCTAACATTTATAAAGTGCTTGCACACTTACCTGCTGTACAACTGTTAGCTCTCCTCCTACTATAATGTAAGCCCCCAAGGCAGAAATTTTTATCTATTACTGAATCCTAGTATAGTAAGAGCATGTGTTCAATAAGCATGTGTTGAATGAATGAATAAAACCTTATCTAACATCAGAAAAATATTAAAACTTCTCAAAAATCATCCCTTCCTTACTAAAAAGTTGATTGAAACATAACATCCGAATAGAATTACATTTTAACCAGACTCTCTTCTTTACAAGAATCTCAATGAGAGCAATGAGAGATCCCAAACTTTAAGACTTCTTAGTGTACAAATCTACTACACAGGGGGAAAAAGGATTTAAAATTTAGTCTATATATCTCTAAATAGTAAAGAAGAAAAGAGCCCAGAGTACTTAGAAAATACTGTAACATTAAAAGAGATTTGTTTCTTGCTTAAAAATATTGAACATATATATACCTGAATGTCAATGACAGAAAATTTGCCAAATTACTATTTAAATTGTGCTAAAACCAACACAAGAAAACTCTTAGCTTTTTAGAGTATGCACACATTTATTAAAATTATTAAAAAGCAGAATGAACCACCTAATTTCTCAAAAATGTTTGTTCTTAAATAAAAATAAAAACTTACAAATAAGACTTTTCAACCATTGCTTGACATTGAATATTATGGAAAACTTTTATATCATAATCCTAATAAAGATCAAATCGTGTAACATCAAGAGTTGTCCAAAAGTGCCACGATATCCTAGAATTTTGATCTTTTATTACTTGAAATAAGTAGTAGAAAATCCTTTAATACATTTTTGTATTGTTATGACATGAGTTGGCTAGATTTTTGGGTACAGAAAATCAAATTACTATTAAAAAAATAAATCATTTACATTAATTTTTATAGACAGAGACAAAGTAGTTCCTAATTTAATAAAAATTACCTGATAACTCAAAGTAGTAAGTAAATATGCTTTTAAAAACAAATCAAGTTCTTTAGAAGAACAGTATGATACCTGGCATGGTTTTCTAGGACACGGAGTGGAGAGGAGGCGAAGCGAAGATCCCACATCTGCACCACTGGTAACCTATCATCCTCAGAGGCAAGAACCATCTGAGTAGCAACGTCAGGATGCCAAGCTAACCCAGAGCAATGCATCTGCAGATAGGTAAGGCTCACGTTATATCAATCCTATTACTTTGCAAAAAGCCCAAATGAACCTGAGAAATACACCTTTGTTGAAAGAAACAGCAGAAAATACCAGCTCAGGCTTAGTTTATTAAAAAAACAAACAAAACCCCCAAACTATTAAATTTCGTCAGTCTTAAACAGTAGTCTAAAAAATTAAAATGTTTAAATGTTTTCAATTCACCCAGCTATTTGATACACAAAACCATTCTAGGCCAGAAAATTCTATACCAAAAAAATGAATTTTTCTGTCAAAATTGTAACCAGAGGGAACCAGAAATGAAAATAAACATTTAAAAGATTTTAACAAAAATAACCATACCTTTCCTCTATTTTATCAGAAAAATCAAAATGTCTAAAGCGACAACTACCATTTCAATATTCACATGGGATAAATTAACATTATTGAGAATTACCTAAAAGTTCAGATTATATTAAGTGTTTCAGAAGATAGCTGAAATGCTTATTATATGCCTTACTCCACTAAAACTTGTTTCAAAACTGCTGATTCATTGAAAAGCAGTAGCCTGATGAAATACTCTTCTTAATAGCTTTTTGTTGTTATTGTTGTTTTAAAATTATATACATATTCTCTGATTTAGGCAAACTCATTTTTGAAAATGTCAGGCTAAACAACTGTTCAAAGAATTAAAAACAGACTAAATGATGCTCTATAAATTATTTTATAGCACATAATGACATAATACTAAGGAATCTGTATGGTCAAAAACTTAATGTGTTATAAAGCAGCATACTTGGCAAATGGGAGAATATAATAAGGCTTGCTTTAGCAGTATCTAATCAGAAGCGCTGAAGCCTAGAATTTGGAAACCACAAGTTCACTGTCATAAAATTACTGGCAGGAAAAATTTGTACCATTTTAGAGTAAACTTAAGATAAATTTAAAAACTATAATGTTTTGAAAAAGCTAGCAGAACAAAACAACCAACATATCATGGAATACATTAGCCAACTTGATTAGCCAATTTCTGTCTTCATCAATAATAATACCCAACACGGTATATTGGAAATTTTATTACTTTCTCCAAGGAAAAAAAATCTCTCATTCCAACATGACTGGTCCATGAAAAGACAGGATTTGACTTTATGGAAATTTGATTTGTTGCCTACTCTGATAACCAATATTAGAATACCTACAGCAGAAATATAACATGTTCATCACAAATCAGTCATATACTTACTCTGTTACTATGATCACTGACTTTGATGATAGGTTCATTTTTTCTAAGATCCCATACAGTGGCCCGGCCACTGGGACTAGCTGATGCCAAAATATGCTGAACTTGTCTGTTCCACGCAATGCAGCTGATATCTTCTGGGGGCTATAAAGGAATAAACTATTAAAAATCTTTTCTCAATTACAATTAAATTTAACTACAAAATATGATCCTTCTTTTTTGAAATGGGTTGCTTAAAAATATGATCTATTCATTCCACAAATTTTCTTTACATTCCTAAATTCTCAACATGTACGATACAGTTTTAAAGCTCAGATATATGCCAATTCAAATATTTAACCTGTTTAATATTGTCTTTCTCATAAGGCATTATACTCCTGTTATAAATCAAGCAATGTTTCTTTATTTTGCAACTGCTACAAGATAGATAACAGACCACAAAGTAAATGCTGGTGAATATGGTGGACAATAAGGCAGAGGAAAAGTTTCAGCCTAGACCATTTGAAAAATGTCTTTATAAATGGTAGACCATATGCTATAATTATGCTATATCTCAGACTGCCAAAATGTTAGGGCTCATGTAATTGCTACTCAAATTGAGTAGTCTATAAAACATAAAGAAACTCAGGAGGCAGGGGAGGACTTATCTTTCTCAACTTATTAGAAATACATAGAAAAAGGGTTGAGGTGTTTTGTTTTTGTTTTTAAATAAATTTCCTTTACAGCCTATGATTTTTATTCTAAGGTTGAATATTGTTAAAATACTACATGATATAAAATACTGTAAGGAAATTATTAAAGAGCTATCTGTTTTATTCACTACTGTATGTCTAGTACATAAAGCAGTATCTGGTAGGAGCTAAGACACTGAATAAATATTTTTTGTTGAAAGACTCATTGATTCTTTGAAGAAACACTTATTAATGAAAACCTTTATTACACTGAAGGAAAAACCAGTGACATCTAAACAATGAGTTAGTATGAAAGGAAAATAAACAAGTAAGTATAGAAGATCTTATTTTCGTTCTTTTGATTATAGTGAAATCAATGTAATACCTGTGTTTTGGTTCCTGGTGTCATTGGAGTTGCAAAATTGTTGAGATCCCAAATGTAGATTTCAGATTCATTAGCACCAGAGGCTACTAAATTAGTCTGCAGTAAGAAATAATTAATAACTAAATAGCACTCGTGAATAATTAATTAAGAGAACTCAGGATGACTCATTTTGGAGCTGGAACGATCTGTCAGTTGAAGGGCATACAATTTTTCTACCTAATTAAAGGTGCAAAATGAAAAATAACCAAATACTATGTATAACAATCTGAAATTTAAACAGTTTTTTAGAGATATATTATAATATTCTGTTTAACTAAAAAGATAACACGTCTACTGACAATTTAATACAAGATATTAAAAAAATTGTATGTATGGATACATTCTTAAAATGATCATGTAATCATATGGGGATTACAGCTCTTAGTTCTGGATTTCTTTACGGGGATCTGTCTGTGGAAGACAAAAATAGATCATCAATTATTGCTTTCAGACAAATAACAGCCCTAAAACAATCCTAAAACAATCTATCTCAGGATCTCTTAAAGCCAGCTTCTGGAGTGGGGCACGTGAGGGTTCATAAAATCTTGTCTTAAATTCTCATGTGTTCCTAGTTCATTTATAGTCAAAGGTGGCAGTATTTCTAGTCCTTTCTGTTGTACACCTTTAGGCTCAAAAATACCCTTACACTGTGATATCAAGTATGGAAGACAATGAGTTTCATATACTGACCTTCGTACTTTACTATTCACTCTCGTAAACTGTTCTCTGATCAACTGACACATAACTATGAAAACAGAGGAATTCTATGGTAGTAGCCAGCAATACAAGACACTAAACAAAAATCAGCAGCTGCTTAATCCAAGTAACAAAAGAACAAGCTATCTCATCTAGAGTAGACACTATAACTGCAGAAATGAAGATATTTAGGTTTCTGTATTTCTATATGCAATGTATCTGCTTATAATACAAGAAAAACAACTATTTTAAACAATATTAATTTTTTGTTTTTTATATACTCTAGTATATTAATACAAGATCTTTATTAATCTGTACATTTAATAATTAATACTTAGTAATGTTTATGATGGTAATAGTAGAAAGACCCTTCATTGCTTATTCATTAAATTTGTACTATATTTGTGCATAATCTCTTTCATTATGAATGTAAAATTTTCTTAATTAATAAAAGTGGATTAACTTAGATACCATAGCATCAGTCTAATGCTGAACTAGGGCAAACTTCTAAAAGGCAAGGTTTCCAACCTTTCAGGCTCCTACTTAAAATGTGAAAAAAATGCCCAGATGACAGGACATCTCCAGACCTCTAGAATTAAACTCATCAGCCTGATACCCTCCCATGAAGTTAGTATTATGTACCCTGAACCCAATTCTAAACCTTTCATTTTTCCAAACAAATATACACACTCATCAACCTGCACAAACACAAATTTTTAACTTTCAATTCCCAGATTGAGGCACAGTAGATTCATATACTTAATTCTAGTAAGCAGCACACATCTCAAGAACTATGAATATCACAAGTCTAACCTGGAAGATGTTCACATCCAAGGCTCTCACTGGGCCAGCATGCTTGTCATTCTGGGCAATCACAACTTCCTTTTCTCCAGCTATGATTTTAGAAGGATCATAAAGAAGAATATTTCCATTTTCACCACCTGCAATCAGAACTCCAGAGATATTTCCTTTGGAATCCATCTTATGAGGCCCCCAAATTAATTTGTGGTACCTATAAGAGAAAAATGAGTAAAGTAACTAATTTTCAGAGTCAAATGTAGAAAAAAATTTGAAATAACACATTTAGTTCTGTATGTTTTCGTAAATGCTCCAAAAACACTGCTTCTCCTCTTTTCCTGATAATTATGCATGACTTGGTAAAATGACACTTTAGTTTTTATTTATATTCATATGTGCATATTTGATTTTGTTATCTTTAAGACTTAAAACTCTTTGTAGATATAATATAGTATGACAAAGTATACTGATTTGTGTGTCAAAAAATAGGGGCTTAAGAATGGTTTTACCACTTATAATCTATGAGACCGTGGGCAAGTTAGTTAATCTTACTAAGATGTTTTGGTCCATCTGTAAAATAGCTGATCAACCACTTCCCTTGATTCTATATGACTACAGAAGTATTCACTAACAAGTACTGTTAAATAGTAAAGATATTAAGAGAGTCACCTGAAATTTTCTAAGAAAAATAATGTATTCTGACAGTAGAAAACTGTTATCAAAATTATGTCTATTATGACAAGTACCTCTATTAGTGGTACATAAAACATGCCAGTTTGTCATAGAGATGAAATATGAAAGTGGCACAGAGGTATATGATGACACAAATGGTAGTAAGTAGAAAACCTGCCAAGACAAAAGACACTTGGGGTTCCAATCACAGTGGGAGAGCTCTGAAGAATATGAGGCCCCATGAGACTCCATTATTTGAGCTGTACTCTGTTAACTAAGGTACAATCTCTTTACCAAAATCTGCCAGCTATTGAGGCAATAAAGCGTATTTTACTACTCCAGTGAAAGTGTCCTTTCTTTACATTATGACAGGGTGTAAGAACTTGGAAAGGTGATCCAAATACTACTATTTCAGAAATCATGTCCACAAAATTTTCTGTGAAATATATTTTTAAATAAAATAAGAAGAAAACAAAAATAATCTTCCATTCAGAGACAATTACTATCAACATCTTAATATTCATGCAACTACTCCTTTTTCTAGTCATACCTACCTTTTTTGTAAACAAGGGAGATAAAGAATTTAAGAGTAGTAACTCTACTATTTCATAAGGCAAAAAATACTAGAAAACTAGAGCTTTTCCTTCCTATCATATACATAATAGTCAACAATAAAAAAAAATAAACAGAACATATAGACAATTCTCTTATTTCCAAAGAAATTCACTCATATATTGTTTCATAAACTATTTCATGTCACTGATGGTATTCCTTGCAGTTTCTAATAATGGCATATTAAAGAGAAACTAGGCATCACCCATAATATATAATTAATCATGTGTATTTAAAGTTGAATCTCATACCTGTGAGAAGAGGAGAAAGTGGCACAAGACTTCATATCCAAGGATGGATCCGAAAGGTCTAATTCAAATATCTCAAGGGAAGCACTGGTACTAAACGTTGCATCCAACTGCTGAGCGGATGTTCCTGTAGAAAATACATTTGTGGTAACTACACATGCAAAAATAAAAGACTCAGAGAAACAAAACAAAACAGAAATTAAATGCATGTTTTTCAATTATCTCACTCATGAATGCTGCCTTAGTGGCTTAAATCTCAGCACATATGCCATGAGCAGATGCTTCAATTACTATAGCAATAAAATTCTGACACAAGGCTCAGAGATAAGGTTTGTAAGAGTGGGCAGTGCAAGTGATTTTTGTAGATATTTTAAAAGCTCTCTGTAAAAATAGTCCCATTATTTACTCTACTTATATTCACAAATGATATAATTCCAATTCTTTTTATATAAAAATGTTTGCATCAACATGGTTCTTCACTTATTCAAATTGATATTTATTAACCTTTTTTTTTTACATGATACCTGTTTTGCTTAATACTGGAAGAATGAAAGTAAAACAATTCTTTTTTTTTAAATTTTTTATTAAGGTATTATTGATATACACTCTTATGAAGGTTTCACATGAAAAAACAATGTGGTTACTACATTTACCCATATTATCAAGTCCCCACCCATACCCCAATGTAATCAGTGTCCATCAGTGTAGTAAGATGCCACAGATTCACTATTTGCCTTCTCTGTGCTACACTGGAAAGTAAAACAATTCTTATGAAGTGGGGAAGATACCATAAATTTAATATACCATGACTACTGCTATGACATACAAAGTGCTATGGGAACACAGAAGAAGGTCACTGAACTCAGCTGGTAGGGGGAGGCTTGCTTTCTACAGAAGAAACTTGAATGGTATCTTTAAGGACAGGTCTGAACAAGTCAGATATGGCAGAAAAGAAATTAGATAACTAATACTATCTTCTCTCTGCTGAACTTACCTGTAGCTAGGTAAATAGGATGATTCTGGGCAGGACTCCATGCCTGCATGGCTGTACGATCCACTTCTTTTAACTTCATCCTGGTAAAGAGACTATTTTACATAGAAATACATTGAACATTTTTTAACAGAAATATACTGGACAAACCACTACGTCATTAGTAATGCCAGAATCCCAATAAATCAAACTGGTTTGGGCATCATTTGTTGGGAATGTTCAATATTAGAAAGAAGAGAAACCTGTTAAATTATTTTGATACAAAAATAGGTTATTCTAATGGTTTACAGATAATAGTCCTTCAGCTGAAAAATCAGTCTGGAAAAAAAGACTTGTAAAAGCAATACAGGGCAGCATCTGAGGAATTAATCTTGCTTTACAATATGATTCTCAGACAACAATGTTTCAGGGGTAAGGAAAGGCACAAAATAAACAAGGTCCATCCTTCTGGTATAGGATTACTCAATTTTAAGAACAATTTTAAAAATTAATTTTAAATTAAAAGAGACTAACTACAGTGATGAATACAGTAAATAGCCCACAGATTTTAAAGGCAGAAAAAAATTGTATAACTGCTCACTCCAAGCTACAAACTCACATAACACCAGTTTATATATTCTCCATTTAAGTTACTTTGGCTGAAAAATTCAGGAGGTAAGTACTATAGCTTTCAAGAAGATCTGTTATTTTACATAAATACATTCACATGGCACAGTATTTCACTGCACGATATATAGTTAGTCTGCCACAGGTGAACACCTGAGTTGTTTCTAATCTTTTATTATTTTTACAAACAATGCTGAAATAAATGGCCACGTGTACATGTTATTTCATTCATGGGCAAGGAGAGTTATCAACTTTCAAAAGTAAAAGTGCTGGCTGGGTTAATGTAATTTTAACTTTGATGGGTACTGTCCACTTGCCCTCCACCAGGAACTTTTCACACTTCCAAAAGTAATGTATGCGTAGTTGCTGCCCTATAGCCTTACCAGAGTAACACTTACAGGTTTTTAGCAACATAACAGGTAAAATGTTAGCTCTAGTTAGTTATAATTTGCATTTCTCATACTATAAATAATGTTGAGCATTTTTTAATATGGCTATGGGAATCCTATTTCCTTCTCTGTTACCTTTTCTGTCTATCCTTTTTTATATCATTTGTCCAATTTTCTATTAGGTTGTCAGATTTTTGTCTTTTGATTTTTTATTGATATTTTACCTTCACAAGATTGTGATTTTTAAAAATAAATTTATATATCAGAGCAGTTTTAGGTTTACAGAAAAATTGAGTGAAAAGTATAGGGTTCCCAAACTGCTCTTCCCAACTCCCAACCACAGCCTCTCCTACCATCCACATCCTGCCCCACAGTGGTACATCTGTTATAATCAAACCAACACTGACACATTTAATGATATATCAAATAAGTGCATGGTTCACATAGTTAACATCAGGGTTCACTCTTTGTGCCATAGAGTCTGTGGGTTTTAACAAATGCATAGTAACACATATCCACCCTTATAGTACCATTCACTGGTTTCCCTGCCCTAAAAATCCTCTGCTCCACCTATTCATCCATCTCTTCCTCTGTCCCTCCTCCTTCCCTCCAGCAACTACTGATCTTTGTACTGTCTCCATAGTTTTGCCTCTTCCAGAAAGTCATTTAGTTATAATCATACCATATGTAGGCTTTTCAGACTGGCTTCTTTCACTTAGCATTAGGCACTAAGGTTTCTACATGTCTTTTTGTGACTTGATAGCTCATATTTCTTTTTAGCACTGAAAAATATTCCACTGTATGGATGTGCCAGATTTTTATTTCTTTTATAGTCAAATTTATCACTTAAAAAAAATTGTTTCTGAAATTTGATCAGCTAGAAAAGTCTTCTGCATGCCAAGGTTATGAAGAAATTCACCCACATTTTTTTTATGACTTATTTTTTTTTTTCATTAAGACATCATTGATATGCTATCTTATGAAGGTTTCACATGAGCAACATTGTGGTCACTACATACACCCCATTGCAGTCACTCCATCAGCATATTAAGATGCTGCAGAGTCACTACTTGTCTTCTCTGTGCTATACTGCATTTATGGTTTATTCTCACATTTAAATTTCAACTCACCTGGAGGTATACAACATGTTCAAAGTTAATGTTTTTCTTATTACTACATAACCATACATTGAAAAGTCTACCTTTTTCCTACTAAATTTAGGTATCACCTTCATATTGTATGTTCCTACGTTTAGTTTTATTTCCGGGTTTACTATTTAGGTTTCTATTCCTCTAGGTATTAGGATGTAGGTTAGAATTTCCACTCCTTTACATGTTTAAGTTTATTTGTGGATTTCCATCCTTATGTTCATTTGTTTATTTACATACTAGGCACTCTACTCTTTTAGTTTATATGAGTATTTTGATAATCCCTATTCATTGCTTTACCCCCCAACCCTGTTTTCCTTGCTATTACTTTTTACTACATAAACTTTTCTGATTCCAGGAAAAACAGAACATTAGTATTTTTACTGAATCTGCATTGTTAATAAATTAATTTATGGAGAACTGACACAATGTTTAATCTTCCTGTTGAGAACATGGTGTCCTGTAATTTAACTTTTTGTTTTTATCTTTTGGTAGTTTTAAATTTTTTGACATTTTAGGTTTGCACATTTCTAAGTGGTCTGTTTGTTTGTAAATATGGCTTCTTTTTTTTCTGTTATAGTCTTCTTTTTATATAAAGGCTAATGATTTCTTTATGTTAATCTTGTATCCTGCTATCTTATTTAACTCTTTTTGAAGTAGTTTTTCAGTAGATTCTGGTAGGTTTTCTACATATACACTCTTACCATGTGCCAAGTGATACTTACCTCCTCACTTCAAATTGGTATTCCCTCTAATTTCTCTTGTCTAAGTTGGCTAGTATTTGCCATACAATATTAAATAATTAGTGAAAACAGTGTGATGTATTGTCTTTTTTCTTGCTTTAGTGGGAAAGTCTACTGTATGACCACTGAGCATGATTTTGGAATCTGAAATATACATATATGCATAGATATAAATGTATATAATGTAAGCAAATAGCCATTGATTACTGTTTTATTGAATGCTATTTATAAAGACTTGAGTGCTGCATTTTGTCAAATACTTTTCATTAGGTAACTGGAGATGACAATATGGTTTTTCTCCTTCGTCCATCAATAAATAATAGATTTCATAATATTGAACCATCTTTTCAATTTTACCTTGAATAAACCTCTCTGCTGCTAGATTGTTTAACATAGTTTTCCTTCTAGAGTCATTTAAGTGGGATGGAGGCTGAGGTTTCCTTTGTGCAATCTTTGTCAGGTTTTAATACCCATGTTATACTTCCTTCATAAGAAATGTGGGAGTTTTCCTTCTTTTTCTATGCTCTGAACAGTTTCAATAGCAGCATTGGAATTATAGTTTAAGGATTTCAAATTCTGCCATGTAACATCTGGGCCTGGTGCTTTTTGGGGTGAAGTTGCTCCTTTGCTAATTTTCTCTATTTCTCCTGTGGAAACTGATCTATTTGAATTATCTTTATTCAAAGCAGTTTTTGGTAAATTATATTTTCCTATGATATCTGTTTTTTAAAAAACAGATTTTCTGGTTGTTTAGACTTGAAAAACATAGACTCACGATTCTTTTCATTTTTGCTGTCTGTGGTTATTTATTAGTCCTTATTTATGAGGTACACTTGTTTTGTTTCCCCCTACCATCCCCTTAAAACTGATTAGCTAGGGACTTGCTGCTTTACTGAATATTTTCAACAAGCCAATTTATCTACTAGTTCTGCCTTTTATTTTCCAAGTCATTAATTTCTGCTTTTATTTTTATTAATTTCTTTCTTCCACCTTCTTTTGGTTTACTTAGTTCTTTTTCTTTTTGAGCAAAATGCTTAACTCACTCATTTTTATTTCTTCTTTATTCCTATAAGTATTTAAGGCTCTGAATTTTCTCTGAGCATTGCTTTAGCTAGATCCATACATTCCCAGTGTTTCCATTCTGTAGTTATTTATACATTCTATTTTCACTTGTATTCTTTGTTGATCCAAGAGTTGTTTGCATTTAATATCCAGGTGGAGGGGTCTTTATTTTTACTATGCTGTGATGTTTCTCTACTCTCTCTCTCTTATGAAATTTATTGACATTTTCTTTAGGGCCTATATAGGAGTTTATGTGAATCTTCATGAGACCTAAAAAGAAGGGGTATTCTGTTTTTCAGGGTCAAATTCAATATTTGTTAATTATTTCTACGCAACTGACTGACTAGTTTGGTCTTCTATAATCTTTTTCCCCACTTGATCTGTCCTGAACTGAGAAGAGTGAATTAAAAGTCTCCCACTCTAATGCATTTATGTCTTTTTCTTCTGTATCTTTTCAAACTTGCTTTACAAAAGTTACTTTGTTATTTAACACACAGTTATTTGGTAGACAGATATTCAGTGTTAAATGTTCACTGTCGAATACACATTGTAGCTTTATGAAGTATTCCCTTTGTCTTTAATAATGCCTTTGGTCCTGAACTGTCTCATATTAAGATCAATACCTTCACTTTCTTTTTATTTGCCTTTGTGTGTATACTTTTGCCCTTTCAATCAGTTTGTTTTCACTGGCTATCTTGAATACAGCAAAAAAATCAGGTTTTGCTTGGTGATCCAATTTGAAAATCTTAATAGATTAGCTAATAAGGCAATTTAAAGTTTACTGATATGGCAGACATAGTTGCTCTTAGTTCTTTCTTATTTTGTTGTTTGGTTTTATAATTCTGAAAAATAATTTAATTATTGTCTATTTACTTTTTTGTATTTCTAACTTTTCTGATAAGTAGGATTTACATTTTTGTTCCAAAATGTGTTTCAGGTTTTATGTTTATAATTTAAAATAATTTTATTTAATAACATTAATCCTCTATTTCTTTATACAATAACTATTATGAGCACAAATGAAATTAACCTGTATAATCTTACTGCCCCTCTTGTATTACACAGTCAACTGTATGATCTTTCTCAGTGTTTACCTTTGTACTGTTAAATATGGTTATACTTCTACTAACTGACTTGTCAGCCTTAAATGATGTCCTTTGACTCCCAACTATTATAGATGAGAACATTCATAAACTTATCCCTACCTTTAGTTTTCTTCCTACTTTCCAGTTCTCTTAATATTTAAGTCTTACAACTATTCTCACTTTATCAGATACTTAACATGTGTATTTTATTCTTTTTTTCCTTATTCCTACTTTTGTTTTAGTCTCAGGTCTACAGTTAAATATGCTTAATGCTCTCCAACAGTACTCTTGCCAGTTTTTATTCATCTCTAGAGGGTAAAGTTCATCCTCTAACAGTTTCCTTAAGAGGGCCATACAATAAAAATACACCCTGAGTTGCATATAATCACACTGTTTATACTTAAAGAACATTTTACAGAGAGAAAATTAAGGCACAGGAAGATTAAATAATTTGTACATGCTAGCAAGGAAAAAAGCCAAGATTTGAACTCAGAAGTTTAATTAGAGAGTCCAAGCTCTCATTTGTTACTTCAACAAGTCCTGGTATTTAATTTTAATAATAGAAGAAATACTAACATTTAGACAAAATAATGGCAAAGCAACTACGATACATGATGAAATTAAGAGAAGAATGTATTTCAGAAACTCCGCTAGTTAGACAAAACTGTATTAAGAGGCTGAATCACCTGGTTAAAAGAAGGGCCTCTGGAGTCAATCCTTCATTTGAATATTGGTTCTGCTATTTGACATCTTGGACACATTATTTAACTTCTCTGAGCCCCAGTTTCTACATTTGTAAAACAGGGATAAGAGGGACTACCTTATGGGATGCTTTTAGGTTTAAATGAGATACTATATTTTAATAAAGGGTCATACACAGTGCCTCATGTATATAGACTAACAGGACTTTTAATATGCTACGTACTTAAAAAAATTATTACTACCATGAGATTCAAGAAAATGATACATCTAGTTTCCTAAGATTGTTCTGCAAAAAAAAAGGGGGAAAAATCCCTGTGTTCTAAGACATGTTGTGTATATGAAATAGCCTCTTCCGCTCAGCCATCATCGATAAGCTCACGTTCCAGCTCCTTCATGACAACTACACTAGTGATCCAATCCACACTGATCTAAATAATCCCTTAACTGTTTATATTTGTACTACACTTTAAGCACTTTACAACAAGGTGTCTTACTCTATCTGAACAAAACTTTATAACATTTTATTGGTATATATCGTTTACATATTTTTACCATTGCCTTTTTAACAATTGTTTTATATGTCATCTTGTGTCACTAACAATATTACAATTTTTATTCTTTTTGGACTCAGATTTGCTTAGCACAGGGTGAGGTACACAGAAATTTTGCTTGATTGACTTTAACTGTTTATATTTAGAGGAATATAAATAGGCTATGAGCTAGAGAGACTAATATCAGGTAAAAAACTTAATTTTCAAATTCTTAACTGTTTAAGGGGTAAAATAACTTTAAAAAAGCATTTCTTATTTAAAAGATTGGGAAAGGTATTGTTAGGGGAAAAAGGTGTCTTTATAAAATGCCTTAAGAATAATTTCTACGAATAAAAACCAAATAGCTATATATGCTAAAAAAAACTTGTAACAGAATTACATACAGTATTTCCAAGAGCAAAGGTACAACAAGGGGCTACATAGTTAATGAACACTTAGTTATTGTGTAACATTTACTTTAAGAGAAAGAGACAAATGTGCAAGAACATAAAATAGGTAAGTAGGAATTCAAAGCTTTTCTAAAAGTCTATTACTTGTCCTTAGCACTCAGTGTTCCACCAGAAGCAGTTTCACTTATTAACCTGTACTGAACACAAGGCTTCAATATAAACTGTTTAAAAAAAAATCACTGTATTTCAATGGTCTGGAACTACATTATGTGGTCTGAATCTAATTAAACAATAGTACCATAATCTACCTATTGCAATCATTCTCAAAACTACTAAGAAAGCTATGAAAATACAGCTTCTGGATGCATGTGTACTTCCTTCTCCTAGAAATGTTCATTTAGTTGTAACTAATTTTCTTCAACATATGAAGGCTAAAAGTAGGCCATATATACTTCCAAAGCAAGACTTGCTTTAAAAGCTTTGCATAATTTTTTCAATGTTATTTGTGATTAAAATTCACACTATGCAGACTTGTTCACACAAGACTATTTTACAGTGAACATATCATTCTGAAAATATAAAAAGAAAAACTGTGAGGATAGTGGCTTGTTCACATATGCCATTTACAAGACATTCTGTACAGTACAGCAGTGAAGTGTATGAAGTCTCGAGCCAAACCCTTATTTAAAATCCCAGTTCCACCCATGTCCTAGCTCCAACTTTAGGCATGTAACTTTACCTATGTGTCTTGGCTACCCACTTGGTAAAATAAATACAATGAAAGTAGTATCTATATCACAGGGTTGTTGTGAGAATTAAAAGAAGTATTAGGCAAACTACTTAGAACAGTGCCTGGCATGTAGTAAACAAACGCCTATTAATGTCAGCAATTATGAGTCCCGATTTAAAATGTTTATTCCAGTGAATCTTCAAGAATCACCTACTGAAGAAAATTTATGTCCCAGTCTAGAAATCTTATTTTTTCATCCAACTTCTCTGCATGTAGTTAAATGGAAACTTTTTTCTTCCTGTTCATTTTCTAAATGCTAATTTTGTGAAAAAAATGCTAAAACCCAACAGCAGTATTCTTTAAAAAATACCAACCTAACAATGCTACATATAAAGCTGACCCACACCTTAGGGGAAAAAAAAGTGAAAGAAGTAATAGAAGTGGAAAACTGGTGGAAAACTGACTCCCAAACCGTGAAGGAATACAGATGCTAGCTGGCACAAAATCCCTCTAGTGTGGGCAAAATATATCATTATGGATGGCCCATTTGTTCTAGGGCATTTATTTTAGTATTATCAATGCTCTAGGCCCGTCTCATTCAACCAAAACCAAATCAAAGAAGCAATTATACATTGGTTACTTTACTCAATAGTGTCATACTTATCTGGAGACTAATTAAAAGTTTTTGAGCCGAAATTAACTTATTTAAGAATGACATCTCTAAATACAATAAAAATCAACTTAATAGCACCTTACTAGGGTTTTTAACTTGGGATTTGTAAACCTCATGAAACTACAGAAAAAAATCCTATATATGTGTATAAATGCATTTTTCTGGGAATAATACGGTGCTTTCACTAGGTCCTCAAAAGGGCGCTTAAGGCCAAAAGATTAAAAATCATTGCTCTTTACAATTCACAAATTTCTTTCTATTCTTACTAGTTTCAGAGAAGAACCTGTTTATGTAAAAATTAAACAGTATAATTATATATCCATTCCAAATCTCACATTTCCCAAATAACCCTGGATATGTACAACATAAATTCATAACTACAAAAACACTTCAAGCTATCCAAAAGTTCTTAATCTAAAAACTTTCCCCACAGCTGTAATTAAGGGACAATGAAAAACAAATGGCACAGAAGACCCACCAAAAAAGGGGAAAATTTAGCCAACTCTAAAGCAAAACGTAGGGTAGTCTGATACAAGGATAATACTCTATCGATTAAATAGTTACAATCGCTAACAACAATAAAATTTAAATTTTCTGTAGTTAGGAGACGCAAGCTTAGGAGGATTATCACAGTCACTACAATTTCGCAAAGACCTACGTAAAATTAAAGTTCCTTTAGTTCACAGACAAGTTTGCAATGCTCACAGCCCAGGCAATATTTTTACTTATTTTACACCTGCCCCGTAATTTAACCTCTTATTATAATTTATTGCAAAAACATAACACTTAATGAAACTTCCTTCGAGGTACAGGCTGCGATTGGCAACTACTGACCTTAAAATAATCCAATCCTGGTTAAATGACAGTAGCCTTCAGTTAAAACCTACGAACCTTTAAATCTGGCAACTGTTCAAATAAAAACAAAAAATTCTAACCAACCAAAGTCAACCAAAGTAATCCTGAGGTTTGTTTCCTTCCCTCGCCTTTGGGGACCGGACCTCTGTGCACAAGGGTCTGAAGGTCTGCTAACCTAAGACCCCAGTTTCCGGCCGTGGCAGGCCACCTTGTCGCAAGCTTCTGGGAGCTCTTGCCCAGCAGTGAATACGTTGGCGGATGTGGACTGGCACGATCCCCGAAGCAGCCGTGACGCCAGGCGTTGTCCCGCCGGGCCCTACACGAAAACCAGGGACGTGCCGCCACAAGAGATCGCGCCCCAGCAGAGACCGAGGCTGCGGTCCCAGGTCTGGCCCGTGCTCTACCTCAAGGCTGCAGGGCCGGAGAAGAGGATAGGAGGTAACAGGCGAACACACCTGGCGGGGACCCTCGCTGAGCAGTTCCTGCGTTAGCTCGGCGCCCGTCGGGCTCTCCCAGCATTCGCTACTGCCCCTCCTCCCGGCCCAGGACCACCTCCACGTTCCGCTCCAACGTGGCAGCCGCAGCTCCGCCCGGCCGGACAACAGGCGCTTCCGGGAGAGGCGCCTGGCCCCGCCCACCCCGGCGCCTCGCCCGTCATGGCACATCCGGGAGCGGGGGCGGAGCGTGTGGCCCGGTCGGCGGGCACTTGCTTCTACCTTGGTGGTGAAGCTGGGGTTCGGGTCTCAGGGGCAGCGTGCCGAACGGGGGTGCGGTGGCTAGGACTACGCTGAATAGAAAAATCCTGCTGGGTGTAGCTATCTGGCGGAAGAACGGCACGGCCCGCAGGAACACCACGTAGCACTAGTTTTGTGAGACGTCAGGAGACGCTGCCAACACCAAACTACCTAGCAATCAGGCTGCAAGGGCTTTATTGCTATAAGCTGACTCGTGAGTGTAAATTGGCCCGTAAAATTGCTTACTTGGCTCTACTGTATTGCTTCCTGAGAACTTTAAAACCAAAAGATCTAGTCATACCTAAAGGCTGGTGTGGACATGCTTTTGGTATGTCCAAAGAGACACGCTGGGGTATGGTATTCCAGGTAATATCTTATGTACTGTTTGAGATCTCTTAGCAATTCCTTGTCATTGGAATTTTACTGGTTTCGCCAGAGCTTGTCAACTTGGCGTGCTGCCGAATGTCGTTGTTGGTTTAGGAGGAATTGTTTTACAGCGAAGAAAATAAAGCCGGAGGAAACTCACTTGCTAAAAGTACCAGAAGCTGCATTCAACCCAGATCTCCTAACTTCTGTACCAATTCTCTTCGCATTACACTGGTCAGCAGCCTGTCTGTCCTAAAGCCTTTTATAAGCGCCTTCACTGGAAACAATGTTCTTTTCTTCTATACATAAAGTATGGCAAACACTCCTATTGAAGTACCAGAAAGTAGGCACATTTTTGTACTCACTGCACTTTCCACCTTTTAGTGTCTTACACTTGCTGTTCAACTTAAAAAATAAAGTTCACTCCTAGGACTGAAATAGACCAGATCAAGCAGGTTACTTAGACTACAGTAGCTAATTCCTAGTGTTGAAAAAAGGCTATATATTCTTATATATAGCTCCAAGGACTAATTTACCTAAAGGGGTGCCAATACATATCCCTGACTTAAAAGATGGAAAGTCATTTGAGTCAACAGTAAACACTGTCCCTACTGCCCATCCCCAAAAGATACCCCCCTCCTTTCTGTGGAAGTGTGCACTGATATAGAAAAGGGGTTAATTAGAGTAACTTATGCATAACTCAATGATTCAAGCAGTGATTATTGTTTGGTATCATTTAATGCGATTGTACTACATTTTCCTATTGTATAAATCAAACTGCACACTTCCCTATCTTCACCTCCTTTTGCAGGCCCTGTGAGGTAAAAATGGCAAAAGAAACATATTTCACATAAGCATATGAAATTCAAATTCTGGTTTCCATAAAGTTTTTTATTTAAACACAGCCATGTGCAATGGTTTATGTACTGTCTATGCCTGTTTCTCTAGTACAGAGCTCAGTTTAGTCACCACAGAGATCATATGGACAGAAAGCCTAAATACTATATGGCTCTTTACAGAAATTTGCCAACCCCTATTCTACTAAGACAATTTTGCCTACAAATGTTTTAATACTCAAAGTCCAAATATAAGACATTATGATATATTTTTATTTTAGAGACATGATATAGTACCATACAAATGTAACATTAAGTTGTTACTGGTTGTCATGAGGCTAAAAATACAGCTATTTCTAAACCTGATGTCTTTGTATTTGGTTAAATATAGATTTCCTACCTTTTTTTGAATGCAAGACAGTTCCTGTTTTGACTATGCAAGCTGAAACCACGTAAGGCAATCTTAATCTATGGGATTAATAATCTATGGTTCTTCTGTGACCTTAAACTTTGTCAAAATACTGAAACTGATGTTCAATATAAACATAAAAAAATAGTAAAACTAATATTTAAAATATTAGAAACATTTACAATTATAGTGTTTTATTTCATTAAAAAATCTATCAAGAGCAGTTTGAACAATGTTTGCTGTCTTCTCATTGTATTATTCATGGAGCATCTTTTCCATGCCTTGGCAAACTGTCATACTACTTTCTAAGTCTAGATCAGCTTTGTGTTTTCAATGTCATTAAGCAGCTCCGAGAGTTCCTTTTATGTAAAATTTTTCACCTGTATCACTTCCTGAGACATGTTCATCCTTTACAACACAACTGCTTTCCTCATTTATAACTATATATTCACCTTCACTAATTTCTTCCGGCTGCACATCTAGTCTTGATTGGCAGCTGTATCAACATTCCCATGGTCATCTGTATCGTCTATAACTTCATTTACATTCCATCCAAATCCTGCAGATTTTTGTACAATATAGTCTTGTACTACTGTACAAAGTGAGGACTGCCTGTAGTTCTTGGAATACAGATGCAAATTTCATCCTTATCTGAGCTTGCAGCTTCACCAGTCAGCTTAACATAATCAATTCATACCAATTTCTGAAACGATGAAACCAGGCTGTCAATAAAATATTCTTTTTCAGTCTCTTTGCAATTATCATCTCTTCAATGCAGCAACTAACTTCAACACTTTGGCCTGAATGCTAGCCACTGATGGGAATTTGATTATAGTCCTCAATCCAAAGTAGAAGTAAACACTCCATTTCAACCATAAGCAGCTTTCAGTTCCTACTATAATTTAAACTGAATGATATTGAAGCAACTTTACCTTTTTATATTCATCAGACTTCTTTAGTATGGTACATACTGTAGCTTTATGTAGCCATAGGTCTCATCTTAGCGTTGTTTTGCTGTTGCCATTATCAAATCTTCAACCCATATCCAATTTCAATTCCACTGTTATAATTTCTAGTTTTTTTTTGCTGCCCTGTCATCATCTCTGTTGACCAATTTCCTTTTGATAATCCATTTTGGTAAAATGGCACATGGGTTTATCACTGGGAGACAAGGAAGAAATACAACTACATGCTTTACTGTCTATACACTAATTGATGTTCAGTGACCAATCACCAACAGACTTTGAAAGAAGTGATGTAATCGGGTTACTGATTATGATGCACATCTTTTATTTGCAAAATGATTTGTGGGATAAAAAGCTAGCAACAAAGTTTATGCAAACTTTGTGAACAAACAGTTCATTGTTAGTTTTGTAATAACTGAAATTCCAACCTTGTTGAGGGATTGGTATTATTTAAAATATGAAAACTGATATTCATGCATGTTGGAACAGTGCAAGTAAGGGCTACCTGTATCTAAAAAGGAAAACAAGTATCAGCTCACAAAACAGTCAACTTCTAATCCAATTTAGTTAACGACTAACCAATCATAATCCTAGATCATATAAAGACTGATGCTTTTCTCAAAGAAATGTTAGTTCTGAGACTCTGCATTACTCATTGGACTTAGGAGAATGCTGAAGATAATTTAATACAAAATTCTTCAAATTAGGATTTGCACAGTCCAAAGACATCCTTTTGAGAATTTCAGTCCCCTCCCCTAATCTTAAGATCTGCAAAAGAGTAAAGTTCTGGATGACTCTTGTCTGGATTGTAAAACCTTAACAGTTTTCACAAGCACAGGACCATATATGTTCACAACTTATTCCACAGCAGTCAGTATCATGTTAACTGCTGCAGAACAGTAGCATCCATCCCACTAATGATGTTTTAGAATGTATTTATTTTGTAAATATTTTCATTAAGGGCTATAAACAAAATTTATATTAACTTTCTGGAAATTTTAAAAATAGAAAATTATCTTAACATTGAGTATTCAAAAAATGTTTCCCATTTATATTCCTCAAATTTGAGAAACAACCCAAGATAATATGCCTAATTAATGACAAATTAATCTGATATTAGAGTTGAGATTCTCAGCTTCTGACCACCTGCTTATCTACTGTTTTTTACATAGCTTAAGTCATAGGATGGTCATCCATTGACTTATCAACAGGTCATTTAAAGAATACCCAATAGTTCAAAAAATTTAAGCCATGGAACATATGATCTCTAAGAATTTCAGGGGCAGAAAAGATTACATCATTACTTTAAATAAAAAAATGACTATCAAGGTTAGAAGTCCTGCCATCCCCACACCCTGCTCCCAGTTGCCTATCCTGAACCAAATCTATTGATTTGGAGAATTCTATTATCTTTGAAATTATATTCATATTATCTTTGAAAGCTGAAAGAATAAGGAAAAGAGATATAATTGTGTATAATATCCACATTATGCTCAAATGTCAGGTTTTTTGCTCAGATCTGATTTTTTTGTCATAACTAATAAATTTACAAATCTCTTACCTTATTATATAAATTTTTGAATTCTTGATCAGGTAAATCTGATGTTCTCTAAGAAACGCACACTTCAATTTTATTCCTAAAATGAAAAATATTAACATGGAAATCAGTGTACAAAAACTACATCATATCTATCAGCCTGATGATTTTTTTTATGTCCTCATCCACATACATTAATCACAACAAATCATGATGTGAACAGCAGTGGAGAAAGTTTAATCATTGGACATTTATACTTTATTATTTTTCAACTTAAAGTCTAGTCACTAGGTTTTCATCACGTAGCCCTTTTTAAAAAATATATAGTAAATGCACATTTCTATAAATTTCAATTCTCTCATGTTGAACAGAAAAGATCTCCAATTTTACTACAATTGGAAAAAACTCATAGCAAAGATAATTTCAAGTGTACCTATTATCTAGTTTGCACCAATTACCTTTATGCTCACTTGGAAGTGTCATCGTCTTCAACATCAGGAGTGATATGGAAAAGGTACCATACCTTCATACCTTCTAAAACTGACTATACCTTGCTTTATATGTAATATTTTTGTTACTGAATAAGGTATCCAATGATCAGAAGCACTAAAACTAAAGGAAAAGGGGGAGAGTTGTCTCTGCTAACAAAGAACTTTTAAACAGTAAAAAAGGGGAAAGACTCAAAAGATTACAAATCTCAGGCGCTAATTAGAATGCTGCCAATTAGGAACATTTTGATGCTTGACAAGGTCTATGTTCTGCT